CACACTCTTATCCCACTTTTTCTTGGGCTAAATCAGCAATCTGTACTTTATCCGCAAATTATAGCATAGGATTAATGAGGTTCTTATTCAAGATATACTGCTAGTAACGGAACCAATAAATTATGAAAATGTCAAATGTAGTCATTGTTTTAGGAAAATTGAATTTTACATTCATAAAAATTAGAGTTTTAAGCTGTCAGTAAATCTCGAATAAGAGTTCCAGTCACTCAAGGTCATATAAAATGATGAAGGCATATTAAATAAACTATTCCTTAAGTAGACCCCACATTTCCATTAAGGTTTCCACAGCCCTGAATACTAAATGTGATTTTACTTCGGACGGGTTCCATCACCACCCTCAAAGGGAATCGAACCGTAGTTATGGTAGTGCGGCGCATAATCCCGACTTGTTATTTTTACTCCACGATGTTAAGAATGCCCTTAAGTTCGAGGCCATACTTGAATCAGAAGGGAGGCTAGGCCTCTCCCATGTCACGCGTTTGTAGTTGGATTGCCGATGAAGCAAACTTGTATTTTGCCATGACATGTTATTATATTACTTATATTCACGTTGAGTAGTTGTGATGATAATCAGACGAGGTAGGAATTGCAGTCTGGGGTATGTGAAATGCTTACTCAGTTCACTGTGGGACATTTGAACGAATAGTCCTCCAATACATGTGACTCAATGCGAATAAAGTTCTACTGATTTTATCTAAACCTACTCGGCAGGAATATGAGTAGTAAGTGAACTTTTGTCTCACTGTAGTCAGTTGTCATAGTGTTGTCGATATGAACCGGTTTTTGTATTCGATTGATGGCGTTTCGGCCAACCAGAAAATGAAAAAGACACTTAATTAATAGACCAGTGAATCAATGCAATATATATATATATATATATATATGATAGTCGATCTATTTTATCACATGGCGCGCGGACTGATAGAATTGTTATTGTGAAGTGAGTGTACTGTATTCGAGCGGGTTGAAGGCTTGCAAGCATGCTTGACAAATGGAAGAGTACATGATGGATTAGAAGGACAAAAAATAGGATGATGCTAGTTTGTGGAGAAGTGGCAATGTTGTGATGTTGCATCGCGAAAAGGGAGTATCATTGCTTTGCACAAGGTGTTGCATAATCTGTACACAGTTTGAGTGGGCAAGATCGGTGTCAATTTTTGGCATAGGGTTGCCAAACTCAAGGACGGGAGAAAGGAGGATAGAAAAGCCAATTTAACTAATCTGAAGAAGCTGTTCTAGTGCTAATATGAGACGAAGAGGGACGAAGAAGTGAAAGTGGCAGGCATGAAGAGACAAACAAGTCTAGAATTGTTTTCACTCTTAGACACTGTAACGACCAGCTGGATTGGCATAACATAGTTTGGAAAGTCAACTAAAAAGGGACACGATAGACAGGGTTACGCAGTCAAGCGCAGAAGACACAACATGCTTCATTGAAGCGTGAAAAGTGGACTGGTGATGGTAAGTTGTGAAAATGTCAAAGTTGCTAAAGAGGGCAAGCCTTGATACAATGTTTCGGTGGCCAGATTCGCTCTGACGCAGAGAACGTGGTGGCATGAGTGAGGGTAAGCCGAACTAGAATCGCGATTACAAAGAAAACGAGATTAAAGTTAAAAAGAAAGCGCTGATCATTAGTGGAAGACAAGGACGGCGGATGGGGGATGATTTTGCGTACCTCAAGAAAAATAAAAAGGGACGTACTAAAATGAGGGTAAAGTTGCGTCTGAGTAAGAGAAGGCTTCATTCTAGTCGTTTGAGGTAATGCGCTTTGTGCTCGATTTTCTAAAAAAAAATCGAAAAGAACCAAGAGCATATCGTTTGATAATTGATAAGGAATTATTAGTATTACGAGATGCTGTTAAGGTTCGGTAATAAATTATATGGTCTATCATAGATTGGCACGTGAATGTAAAGCATTTAAATGTTGTGGACTCATGGTACAGTGTGACACATTTTTTTTATTTAAAGAAAATCAACGTCCGGATAAAAATTGTAATGACGCAAAAAACAGCTACCAAATGATGCTAAAAGTCTAGGCTAGGAAAAGTATTTCTCCCACTGTGCACAAATTCATTTACGATTTCACATTTTTCGTCAGCCTTCTGAACGCAAATTTGGTAGAAAAAGAGTTGGCATTATGAAAGTGTTTCATTCAGTTTGTGATTGGACCAAACGAACATTGACTTACAACGACGTTAAGAGAATGCTGAATTTTTGCATTAAATTTTCTTTCTCCATGCATCTTGGAAACCATTAGATTTCCGACAAGCCTTAAAGGAGAATGTACGAATAACAAAGAAAAGAAATATTAATCATTCCATCTATCCATGTATCAGTCACTCCATCTATCGTCTTAGCAGTTAATAAACGTCGTCACACTACTCACAATCCGATGCTCGAATCCCGCTTCGGCACTAAAGAAGCCAGTAAAGGAGAGGTCGAAACCGCAGTCCAGCCTTCAATTTAATGGCATCCTCATACTTGCTCAGCTGATTTGATGGGAAAACTAAACTATCAGTTCCTAACTCAACTTAACTGACCTGGGCAAACTATGTTTATATCGAATACACATACACAGTTCTGTCTTCACCTCCTGCCCCTATTCCTCAGATGTTCACCCTAAATTTTGCTATAGTCTTTTTTATATTATTTATTTATCAATGTGGTTAACTTGTTATAATTTGCCTAACCAGCCTTTAATCAATACATACATACATATATATATATATATATATTTACTCCCCGTTATAGGGAGTAGATATAATTATTAAATCTATAAAGGTATAATACACTATAATGTTTCATATACTCCTCGTTATAGGGAATAGATACAATTATTTAATCTATATGGGTATAATACATTATAATGTTTCATATAGTCCTCGTTATAGGGAGTAGATACAATTATTAAATCTATTAAGGTATAATACATTATAATGTTTCATATACTCCTCGTTATAGGGAGTAGATACAATTATTAAATCTATTAAGGTATAATACATAATAATGTTTCATATACTTCTCGTTATAGGAAATAGATACAATTATTTATTCTATATAGGCATAATACATTATAATGTTTCATATACTCCTCTTTATAGGGAATAAATACAATTATTTAATCTATTAAGGTATAATACATTATAATATTTCATATACTCCTCGTTATAGGGAGTAGATACAATTATTTAATCTATAAAGGTATATTACATTATAATGTTTCATATAGTCCTCGTTATAGGGAGTAGATACAATTATTAAATCTATTAAGGTATAATACATTATAATGTTTCATATACTCCTCGTTATAGGGAATAGATACAATTATTTAATCTATAAAGGTATATTACATTATAATGTTTCATATAGTCCTCGTTATAGGGAATATATACAATTATTTAATCTATATAGGCATAATACATTATAATTTTTCATATAGTCTTCGTTATAGGGAGTATATACAATTATTAAATCTATAAAGTTATAATACAATATAATGTTTCATATACTCCTCGTTATTGGGAATATATACAATTATTTAATCTATAAAAGTATAATACATAATAATGTTTCATATACTCCTCGTTATAGGGAATAGATACAATTATTAAATCTATATAGGCATAATACATTATAATATTTCATATACTCCTCGTTATAGGGAGTAGATACAATTATTAAATCTATATAGGCATAATACATTATAATGTTTAATATACTCCTCTTTATATGGAATAGATACAATTATTAAATCTATAAAGGTATTGCCCCCACTAAACTAAAACCCTAACCCAAGTAAGTCCTAAAACCTTGGTTATATATATTTAGGTATTCATTAATTGAAAGCTGGTTAGGTAAAGTCAGCTTCTAAATTTGCATAATAGATAGATTATTGTATGTATAAGTAGACATACACTAATCTATCTATAATGCAGATTAAGAAGCTGACTTATTCACCTCTTCACTGAGATTCTTCCTGGGCTCAGGCGAGACCGAAAACAGTCTACTCTTGTGTCATCTGCTCAGAAAATGGCAAAGAGTAAGTGATCATTTTGATTGTGTTAAAGTCGAGAAGAAACAAGCGTTTGCTGAGGCTTTGCAGTTCATAGTGTTCCATGTTAATGTCGGATTGGTTGAAGAGGCATTTATGGATGCAAATCTTCCCTTGAGGAAATCTGGGCAATACGTACAAGCCTGCAGTTGTTGCATGTAAAGTAAGGTCAAAGTTGCTGCCGTTAAGTGAACCCAACAACAATTCAAACTCAGTCCCCGGCCTTTTAGATAATGAATCATTGAATAAATCGTGAGAAAGTAGCATACATGGAAACCGTGTTATGCTGACTCCGTTGCAGGATATGCTATCTTCGTATGGGGTTTCCACGGCAGTGGCAAAATCGGTACCAGCACTATCACGTAGATGGTCAAAAGATATATCCGCGTCACCGGTCGTTGCTACACTCTGCGCAAATTCACACTTGCACATATGAATGCGTGTACAGGCATAGATACACCTTTTTTTAAATCTTCATCCGCCCAGTTCGTCAGGCAGCCTTCATACTCCAGTCATTCGGTGTGTTCCGGACTTCTCAGAATGACCATCTTATGGGTCGTTGTGACCAGAATTCTTTGAACTCTCCACTTGAAGGACTGGTAGTTGAATTTTCTTCAAATAATCATATGAGTAGAGCTCTACTCATATCGTTGTGGGAAAATTCAACTACCAGTCCTATATAACCTTAAACGAAATAGGATAAACATAGCATACGAATTCTAGTCATCATAGCTCACGTAAACTAATGAAGGTAGAATAGCTATATTTTCATTTAATCATATGAGTAGATCTCGGGTTTCCAGCAAATGTCACATGGCCTTTGTTCTCAAAAAAGTATTATACTCCAGATTGGATTGAAGTTTCAGCCTCCCATCTATGCCTCTATTAGTAGTGGCAAAACTCACTCAATCGGAATATAATTCATGCATTTAGTCAAAGTGGGTTGCCGAGACAATCAGTAGGTCGTGATTGGTATTTTCAGTCGGCCTAGGTCGCATAGAGTGACGAATGACTGATAGTTCAGGTTTCTCATCATCACATGACACCAGGCACTTGAGCACATCTCGTATTACATACTTCTCTCGCAAGTCAGTCCCAATGGGCCGAAAAATGAATTTGCTA